GGTGGGGTGTGGGCGGGGGGGGGTCGGCGGGGGAGCCGCTCCCGGAGAACACCAACCGGCAGCTGCTGCTGCAGTTTGAGCGGCTCGTGGTGCTGGACTATATCATCAGGAACACAGGTAGGGCTGGCTGCCTGGCCTGGGACACTGCTCCTTCATGTCCTGCCAGCTGGAGAAATGGGATGGGGCAGGACATGGGATCTCTTCCCAGCACCCAAAATTCCTCTTGACATCACCAGGCAGCAGCCTCTGTGTAGAGTGTGGCTGCTGTGGCTGCCCACTGGGGACATGCTCTGGCTGCTCGCCTGTGTTCTGGGAGATCTGGAACCATCATGGTACTGGGGTGGAAGTTTGCAGCTGTGAGGATCCAGGGACATCTGGAGATCCACCACGTGTCTCTGTCCTTGTGTCGCATCTCATGCTGGGCTTCCAAGTTCCTGCAGGCTGACCTCTCTCTTGTGAGCTGGGGATACATGGACCTCTCCAGTCTGCAGGACTGGTTGTGTGGGGGTTGATGTGGCTTCCCAGGCCTGCAGCAAGCTCAGGGGCTCTGGGGTAGAGTTTGGGCCTAAAACTGGGTTGGGGGAGGAGCGGTGCAGGCAGGCCCTGGTGTTGACACAGCTGGTTCTATCTCTCCGCAGATCGGGGCAATGACAACTGGCTCATCAAGTACGACTGTCCCCTGGACAGCGCGGGCGTGCGGGTGAGCGGCTCTTCCTGGGCAGCAGGGAGGGGGAGAGGGAGTGTTCCTGCTGGGGGGACTCCTTGTGACCTGTTCCTTTTCCTTTCAGGACAGTGACTGGGTGGTGGTGAAGGAGCCCATCATCAAGCTGGCTGCTATAGACAATGGTTTGGCTTTTCCCTTGAAACACCCGGACTCCTGGAGAGCATGTGAGTTTTTTAGGCTGTGCCAGGGCACCTTGGTGAGCCATAGAACTCCATGCTTGGGCATACTCCTTAAGGGCAGGAGAGGAGAGGGGTAGGGCTGTCCTGCAAACCTTCTGGGTTCATGGGTGGCTCTGCCTCAGCAGAGGCTGTAGGAAGCAGGTACTGGACCCTGATGCAGGTGATCTGTCATCCACTGGCATGTGGCACCATCCTTTGGCTTCTCCAGCTCTAATGCCTCCTGCTTCCTCCCACAGATCCATTCTACTGGGCATGGCTGCCCCAGGCCAAAATCCCCTTTTCACAGGAGATCAAAGACCTGATTCTTCCCAAGATCTCAGACCCCAACTTTGTCAAGGACCTGGAGGAAGATCTGTATGAGCTCTTCAAGGTGAGCTCGGGAAGCAGTTGAGGAGGCAAGTGGCTTGGGAGGAAGAAAAGCTGAGGTGGCGTTGGTGAGCTCCCTGTCAAGGCTGCAGAGGACAGGAATGTGGCCATACTCCTGACTGTTTCTGAGCTGAGACAGAGCAGGGTTATCCCTCTGCCAGGAGCTGAGGATTTGGTGTGTGGAGAAGCAGAAAACCCATGGGACAAGAGGAGAGGCTTGCTTGGGGAATAGCATCTCTTGCATGGCATAAAGCAGCGGGTGGATCTCACTGTGTGCTCTGCTCTCTCTCTTGCAGAAAGACCCTGGCTTTGACAGGGGACAGTTTCACAAGCAGATTGCAGTCATGAGGGGCCAGGTAAACTGTTGTTTTTTTTTGTGAGGCACGGAGCCTCATCCTGCTGGCATGACAGGTGGGGTGATGGGGTGGATGCTCTCTGTTGCTGTGTCAGGGCAGCTCAGGCATTGCTCTGTTGTGCTGTACAGATCCTGAACCTGACTCAGGCGCTGAAGGATGGGAAGAGCCCCCTGCACCTGGTTCAGATGCCGCCTGTGATTGTGGAAACGGCACGTTCCCACCAGCGCACTGCCAGCGAGTCCTACACGCAGAGCTTCCAGAGCCGGAAGCCTTTCTTCTCCTGGTGGTAGCCATGGGAGCCACGGGCAGGGCTTGGCTGCCTCGGACTGGCACTGCTAGAGGAGCCGGGCCACTGCTGGCTCCCGTGGCTGGGACTCAACCTTCTGGGTTGAGTGCGGCTGGAGGAACCTGCAGCTGAACTGGAGGAGCCAGGCAGGTCGGGCACGGTCCCTCCCCAGCTCCGTCGGAGCTCAGTGCCCTGCCTTGGGCAGAGGCCAGGGGGAGGTGTGGGAATCCTCTGGGACCTGTGGTGTGGCTGGGACCCTGCCCCTCCTTCGGCCTGCATGCAGTTCTGAGCACCCCTGCTTGGGGCTGGGATGAGCAGGCTGCCCAGACCAGGATCCATCCAGCCCTTCACACAAGCTGCTGGCGCCTTTTCCTCCACACCGTGATGGCTGCTGGGCTGGGAAGGCCTGTAGCAGGTTGTACTCCCCTCCCTTTCCCTGAGGGTGTGCTGTACTCCACTGTCCCTCCTCTGCCCCAACCCTGTGCACGCTGCTTTCCTCAGGGGGAGTTCCTGCTGCCCACTGGTGCAGTGGGGACCACAATGAACGGCTGTTCTCTGGCTGGGGGCTTGAGGAGGGCGCAGATGAGGAGCAGCTCAAGAGGCTGGCTTGGGTGCAGTTAGAAACTATGGGGAAAGAGGTGCTGGCTTGTCCTTGTGAAGAACACATGGCCCTGGGAGGGGCTGTAGGTTGGAGCCCCCCTCCCCAGCTTGAGAGGGCTGATGAGGGTGGGTGCAAGCACCGTCTCCCCCTCTGCTGCCCTGGTCCATCCCTCCTGCCAGATCTCCATGGTTGCT